TGTTTTTGTTGTATTGTCTTAATCATGACCAAAGCAACTCTTATGAAAGAAAGCACATTTAATTGGGTACAAACATCAAGATCCACTCCCAGTACCTACTTCCTCCAACAAGGCACACTGACTAAACCTAATCCTTTTAAATAGTGCCACTCTCTGCTGATTAAACAGTCAAATATATGATCCTGGGGGGCATTCTTGTTCAAATCATTGTACTTATTATGTTTTATTTTGTTTTATTGTATTATGATCCCTTAGAAGCCTGTTTGCTTTCCTCTTTTTTTAAAAAAAAATTTAATTACTTTTTACATCCTGGCCACAGTTTCCCCTCCCTCCCCTCTCCTCCCAGTCCCTCCCCACTAAACTTTCTCTGTTCCCATCCCCCAATCTACTCCTCCTTCATTTCTGTTTAGGAAAGGACAGGTCTCCCATAAGTATCAGCAAACACAGTATATCAAATTGCTGTAAGAATAAGCACCTCCCATGTATTAAGGCTGAGCAAGGAGACACAGTATGAGGAATTAGGTCCCAAAAGGCAGTACAAGAGTCAGTGACAGCCCTTGTTCCCACTCTTAGGAATTTCATAAGAGGACCAAACTATCCAACCATAACATATATGCAGAGTGCCTAGGTCAGTCCCAGGCAGGCTCCCTGGTTCTTGGTTTAGTCTCTGTGAGCCCCTATGAGCCCAGGTTAGTTGATTCTGTAGATTTTCTTGTGGTGTCTTGACTCCACTAACTCCTAAAATGCACACCCCCTTCTGCAGGATTCCCCAAGCTCTGCCTAATGTTTGGCTGTTGTTCTGCATTTGTTTCTTTCAGTTGTGGGATGAATCTTCTCTGATGACAGTAGGGATTGGCACGGATCTATGAATATAGCAACATATTGTTAGGCATCATTACATTGACTTTTTCCCCCTCTAGTTGTGTTCATTTCTATCCTAGATTTCTGGGTCATCCAGCTTGTGGGACCTGCTGCTCCAGGCAGTGCTTATTCTCCTGGCAAGGGTTTTAGGCTAGATCATTGGTTGTCTACTTCCCCAATCTCTAGACCACTCTTAGCCCAGCACATCCCATAGGTAGGTCAAGGGTTTGTGGCTGGATTGATTTCCAACTCCCTCCACTTGAAGTCTTGTCTGGTCACAGGAAAAGGCTAGCTCAGGCTATATATATGTAATTGCTAGAAGACTTAGCTGGGATCAACCTTTCCTGGGAGATTCTCTTGCACCAGGTTTCTTTTCTAATGAAAGACAGTAAGGAGATGGATGATGTTAGGGTGGTAGGTGGGGAGTTACTGGGAGGAGTTGAGGTACTACAAACCATAATCAGGATATATTAATGACTGGTATTTGGTGTTCACAGGTCTGAGCAGGGTCAATTCTTCTGGACTTTCTGGCTAATAAGATAGACTTTTTGTATTCATCACTTCACTTAGATAGTATATAAGTTTAAAAGCTGGGAACATAACACAAGGTGAAGTTCTTACCCAGCGATCCCAAGACTATATGTTCCATTTCCAATACTAGTTTAGTCACTATTGCTACAAGAAAATAAACACAACAAAAAGCTTCTTGTGTGAGAGTGTGGAAGTTTGGTAATCTTGAGAATAGTTATGCCTTTTATTCTACTAGAGTAAAATTTGTTATACAAGTAACAAATGTGGTTGCAATTATGGATACAACTTTCATATCTTTCAGAGTCATTCTTAAGGTCCATTTGGTTTCCCTTTGGAGCTGTTTATTTATGGTGTTATTAACATTTCCTTGAATGAGACTTCTGTTTCAAAATAATAGTATCTTGAGGAAAAGAGATACTAAAATTGAATATGAAACACTCAACAATTTGCCTGTCACAGTGCAATAGATCTTTTTAAAGGTTCTACTTTAAGATACTTGTTTTTTCTTCTCAACATCAGTAAAATAAAAATTTGATTATTTCATTTAACCATGAAACAAGGATCTCTATTTCGCAAGATCATTTTAAAATTTCCCAGTGCGATGTCCTGCACAATAGTCTCAAGAGCCATAATATTTTATGGTAATTTGGTTCATATAAAACATGCCCAGGGATACCTTGCCAATGGTCAGCTTCAGTACTGATCATTTTAGAACCTCTTGGGTTTTCAAATGTTTGTAAGGAAAAAAAATCATATAAAAGCTTTCATTTTGTTACAAACATGTAGCCCTGAAATAATCTATTACCCGCATACTGTTAGTCTACTGAGATTAAATCTACAAATGTTCCAGAAGCCAGCTCATACCTCATTGCACTCGGTAGCAAGCCACAGGAATTTAAATCGTGTGTCTCAAAGAATTACTGTGTCTGTATCTTTTCAAAGACCTCAGTAACAACAACAAGCTCTAACATGGCACTTACTAGATAAAATCAAATTTGGAACCAAATTTAAAAAGACAAACACGGTATGTACTCACTCATATATGGATTTTACACATACAGCAAAGGATTACCAGCCTGCAATTCTCACTGCCAGAAAAGCTAGGAAGACCCTAGGAGAGACATACATGGTCCCTCAGAGAAGGGGAAAGGGACAAGATCTCATTAGCAAATTGGGAGCATGGGGGAGAGGGAGTTATGAGAAAGACAAGGGAGAAGAGGAGGGAGAGGTGGGTATGAGGGAACAGGAAGACTGATACAGGGAAAGAATAGAGGAGAACAGGAAAAGAGATACCATAATAGAGGGAACCATTATAGATTTAAGGAGAAATCTGGCAATAGGGAATGCCCAGAGACCTACAAGGATGACCCCAACTAACAATCTAAGCAATAGTGGAGAGGCTACCTTTAATGCCCTTCCATGATAATGAGATTGATGACTACCTTATATGCCATCCTAGAGCCTTCATCTAGAAGCTGATGAAAGCTGAAGCAGCTAAACACTGAGCCAAACTCTTGGAATCCAGTTACAGAGTGATGAGCAAAGAGGTCAAGACCAGGCTGGAGAAACCCACAGAATCAGCTGACCTGAACAAGGGGGAGCTCATGCACCCCAGTCTGAAAGCTTGGAAACCAGCATAGGACTGACCCAGACCCCCTGAATGTGGTGTCACTTAGGAGGACTGGACAGTCTATGGGGCCTCTGGTAGTGGACCATATTTATCTCTAGTATACAAATGGATCTTGGGGACCCATCCCACATAAAGGGATACGTTCTCAGCCTAGACACATGGGGGAGGGTCTAGGCCCTGTCCCAAATGTTATGATGGACTTGAAGATTCCTCATGGAAAGCCTTACCCTCCCTGAAGAGCAGAAAGTGGATAGGCTAGGATTTGGTGGGGGTGAAAGGGGAGGATGGGAGGGTGAGGGAACTGGGATTAACATATAGAACAACTTTAAATTTCAATTTTAAATTTAAAAAGGGGGGGAAATACTATGGTGACTTGAACAAAAATGGCCTGTGTTATTATGGAATGGCACTATGGATGTGACCTTATTGAACTACATGGCTTTGTTGGAAGAAGTATGTCACTGGGAGTGGGCTTTGAGGTTTTAGAAGCTCAAGCCAGGCCTGGTGGCTCACTGTCTCTTCCTGCTTCCTGAAGATCCAGATGTAGATCTCTTAGCAACTTCTTTAGCACCATGTCTGCCTGCATCTCACCATGCTTCTCGCCATGACAGTAGTGGACTAAACCTCTGAACTATAATCCAGCCCCAATGAAATGTTTCCTTTATAAGAGTTGTGGTGTCTCTTCCCAGCAATTAAACACTAGCTAAGACACGTACCAACCCTAATTTTTGTCAGTCTCAATTTCTAGTCCTGCATTAAGTACATCTTCACTGTTAACTTGGAATTATAGGAGTACTTCACAGTTCAGAGCTCTGCTTGTGTGACCCAGTTTCTACAGGTAATCTTGAGCTTGTCACTTACTCTGTCCAGCTATTAATCTCCTGGCCTGATAATGAGGACTCAGAATATGATAATTTCTAAGTTTCTTTCTGACTCAAAATCCCTATGTTCCTATTACCTGAGAAATATGAATTGAAGACCAGAGAAAATATCACCAATGGAAGGAATGCAATGGACCTCACTCTTCATTCCTGTGACATAAAAGTACACATTGATACTATGTGAGTTAGTGGGAAATCATAGACAGTAGGATCTACTGATTCAAATAGAAATTGATTTTTTCTTCTAGTTTGACTCTGCCTTAGGAAAAAGAAAATGTAACTGGCAGGACAGATTCTTAGTTTAAACCATTATATGGACCTGTGGAGCATTTGTGAGAGTACCCTCCTACTCTGGGCCTGATCTCTGACCTCTTGTGTAGCCATCTGAAGTTGTTTCCCAAATCAAACCTGGGGGAGATCTAATATTGATAACAGAACTCAAAAATCTCCATGATAGACTAATCCCACATCCCAATTAGGTGTCCAAAAATTCAATGGGACAATAAGTTGACAATTTAACCTGTTTCCCTTCCCTGCCACAGTGTAAAAGGTAAACACATTTACAAAATTCTCAGCATATCAGTCCTGCCTGCAGCTGTGGATGCCTCATACTTTAAAAAACTGCAGTGAGTCTAATTTGGATGTTAAGGACAGAGGATTTTGAAACCAAGTCACATGAAGTGTGGGCAGAGTCTAGTTCTGAACACCTAAGCCTAGGAAGTATGAAAAATGTAATGTCTTGGATGAAAGGAAGAAGCAAGATGTCCAAGGTCTTTGGTGGGAGACTACATGAATAAAGAAACCGAAGCAGCTGACATCAGGAACAGATGCAGAACAGTGCATGAAGACGACCATCCACATGTGCTTGCTTGGGGAGTAAGGGTGACCGGAAGTGGAGCCGGAAGCCCTGCACTCTCCCCCCCATGCACTCTGACCCCTTTCTGCACACTCCGCCCCCACTCCCTCCCCCTTCTCCCATGAGCATTCCTAGCTGGGTTCTCTGGCCCAGGTCCTGCGTCTGTAGTCCAGGTCTCGAACGGGGTGACGTGTGATGACGCCTCAATGGTCGCCAGGCAGGCTGGGCTTCGCAGCGCAGCGTGGTGCCTCGTGGCCTCTGTTCGAAGCACCTCTCCTCCAGAGCCTGGGCTGCGACTGTGCGTTGGGCGGCCGTGAGGCCGAGAAGCATGCGCGCCCGGGGCGCGGGCTGCCCCGCCAAGCTGCTGGCCATGGGCTGGCTGCTCCTGGTGGGCCTGCAGGCCTCGCAGGCAGCGAATGTCACCGCGATCCAGGAACCCGGCGGCGTGGCCCGGGAGGGCGAGGGCGAGAGCGATACTGATGAGGAGGCCGAGAACGACACCGATGTGCCAGAGAACGAGGCCCCGGCCGAGGCCGAGGAAGAGGGTGAGGGCAGTGGCTCCCTGGGCGCGAAGGTCCCTGAAGAGGGCAGAAGCCCACCCTTTCCTCAGAAAAGAATTAATCAGTGTCACCTTCTGTAGAGTTTTTTGGGCATTACACATCAGCCCCGAGTTAACCCACGCTGTGCATCCATAACCTTTAAAAAACAAGGTGCTAATGTCTAGGGCTCCAGGAAAATAAGCACGGATATTGAAAATGCTGTAGAAATACTTTACAAGAAAGAAATCGCATTTTTAAGAAATAAGGTGCCTGCTCATCATAAGGAATTGTGTGTGTGTGTGTGTGTGTGTGTGTGTGGTTTTACTCTGCAGTCATCTTGCTCGTTTTATTTTTTAATTTCCAAAATGCTTGACACCCTCTTCCTTTCCTATTCTTGAGATGGGAACTCAAGGGAAGTCAGGATTCCTTTTCTTGTGACATATCTAAATGAATATGCTGACAAAACTGCCCCAAATCTGCCATAATCTTGGTGCAGCCCTCAGCACCCTGGCATCAGGCCCTGTAGTGTTTGCCCTTCAAAGGACCGAGGCTGTAGAAAATGAAAGGACCCAAGTCATGATGCAGTTGGGTGATGATGTGTTAAAACATGAGAAATTGAAACAAACCTGTGTTTGGCTCTGTAAACTTAGCTTGTACTCCTGGCTCAAACAATAGTAGCTTACAAACAGTTGCACATGTTCACGAGTAACTCATGCGCTGATAGGTCAGTGGCAAGTTGGCAAGCATTTCCTTGATATCTTTGTTTTTCTTGTGTCTTCTCAATCTGTACCTATGGCATCGGTGCTGCACCTGCCATCCTTTTATTTCCTGATGACAATGACTCTCAGTATCAGAAAGAAATTGACTCTCTGAGATTATTGGGGACCCTACCTTGGCAACTTTACAGAGATCTCGAAGAGCTCTTTGATTTTGTAACTGTAAGAAAGAAAGGACTACAGAAGAGACTTAGGTTCTTTGAGTAACAGTTTTAATATTAAAATAGTCAAGGGAGAATTGTAGCTGTGAAGTGCCAAACAATGTAGAGGTGAAATCCTGGTGAGGGATTTGTAATCCCTTACATTCAGATTCAAAAATTTAGTGCACTTAATCTCATAGCACTTTTCTTTCTACATGCATGGGCTCCTGAGAGTTCACATGTCCTTTGGAATTTTAGATATATGCTTTCATGTCTAAGTGCTTTTTCCTGGGGGACTAAGAGCCCAGAACTGTAAACAGAGGTGATAGATACATGAACATTTCAGGACCTTGGCAAATTTGCATGATCCTGATAGCCTAGTGGATCTATAAAAATTGTCATCATCATTTACTAGCTGGTGTATTTTTCTTTTCTTTACTTGCTTTTCTTTTAATTCTGCTTCCAGATAGTTCACAAATTAAGGGCTGGTAAGAACACTGTGAGAAGCTTCAGTAGAAATTTCAATCTTGTTTTTGGGCGTTCTACCAGTGAAGTTGTACACACTCTAAACTGGGCAAATAATTTGAATACACCCTAAATTCTTAACTGTTCAACATGAATCTGCAGTGTATCCACCACAGAAATTCAAATGCAGCCTCTCTCACAGAGTCTGGTTCATCATTACTGTGGTTCTTTTTTCGCTATTGTCAAAACATAATACTTCTGAAAGATAGGAAAAGCACACAGTTCTTTGCAGAGAATGCCATTTTTGCTGTATAATTGCAAAGCATTTACAGTTTTAGATTTGTAAACAATTGGAAGATTAGTCAATGAGTTTTATTCATGTCAACATCATCTATTTTCTTTGAGTCCCCACATAGAGACCTGCTGTCATGATTTATCCACTTACAAATCTTGTCAAGTTAATTCGATATATAAACAGGAATAAAGAAAGAATATTGTCCTTGTGATTTCAGGAAAACAAGATGATTCAGGGCTTTATAGTAGAATATTTCAGGAGGAGGCCCTTTCCCTTGGAAGATGTACCACATGTTTTCATCTTTACGAAACTCCATGTCTACTTATTAAGAGAAAATCCAGACTATTCATCCAGGGTGCCATGTTTTGATTATGTAACTAATTGTTTTACCTTAACTGTTATATTGCTGTCTCTGTTCATCATTGTTTACTTATTGTGAAAGGTTTTACTTATCAATTTCCCCTTGGTCATCATCAACAAGCACAAACAATACAAACAAAAAAGCCCAGTTGCCAAACCCTAGCTTTGTTCATTTCTGGTGAGTGCAGAAGAGGGTGCCTCTAGAGATGTGTCCTGTGTTCCTGAGAAAAAAGAAGCTGGAGAGATAGAAAGTAGTAGTGACCTCAGAGCTTTGGCTTACTTCACAACTGCTCATCTTTCTAGACAATTCCAAGCAGTCTTCAATTTGATAATTTTAGGGTTTTTAATATAGTTGGAAATATTGGTGACCTATGATGAAATAACAATGTTTGAAGATAAAAGAAATATCAGAGTATGTTAGGATAGTTGATCTCTTCTATCTGCCTTATATATCTTTTATAATATAAACATTCTATATCAATATGCTCAGACTTATTAAAGGGCCCACTAGACATATACATAGTGAATAATAAATCAGTTTACTTTATTAAACTACAACTGTGGTTGATTCTGGTGGCATAGGACTATATCCCAGCTACTTTAGAGTCTGAGGCAATAGTATTGCAAACTCAAGGACAATTTGGTACATAAAGTGAATTCAAGGACCCCCTAGGTGACTTAAAGAAACCTGTCTCAGCTGGTGTAGTGGTGGCATGTGCCTGTAATCCCAGCACTGGGGAGGCAGAGGCAGGTGGATCCCTGTGAGTTTGAGGCCTGCCCTGTCTACAAAAACATACAAAGCAAGTTCCAGGACAGCTAGAACAGTTACACAAAGAAACCCTGTCTCAAAAGTTAAGAAACAAAGAAAGGAAAAGAAACCTGTCTCAAAAACAAAATGAGGAGCAGGGGAAGGATATTTGAGACCCTGAGTTAATTAATAGCCAGTAGTGCAATAAAAATAAAGTGAAAAATATGTCCTTCAATCTAAGAAAGAATAAAATCCTGAAATATCAACCTTACACCCCCTCAAGAAATAGTTTCAGGGTCTCAGATGCATCCTGATGATGTGTGTCACTAGTTATCCTGTAGAGCAAATGATTGCCCACAGGCTCTGGGCAAGACTCCGGAAGGCTTTAGGAACCCTTGCCACATTCTTGCCTCCTTTGGAACTCACTGTTGAGCTCATTGGTGGTTTTTACTAATGACATACCACACAATATTTTGGACAGTTGAGAATTCAACCCATAGGATTTAATTTCATATGAAGTTTCATTTTGTTAAATTTGGCTGTTCTCTCCCTCCCCCCAATAAGCCTCCAAACTTATCAACAGGCTTATTTTCAGGACCCAAGATTCATTCTGCATGTTACCAAGGGTTTTTTTTTCTAACAAGTTATTAATAAAATGTTGAAGACATAGATCTTTGACACATTATTACTTCCACATTGACGTCAACCAGTGGACTTAATGATGTATTGATACTCAGACTTTTTTCATTTGATATATTGTTAGTTGGTGAGAAACTGACAAATGACACATGGAAGTTTAGCTATGTATCATTTTCTTGAGCCATCATTTTAGGATTTACAGTTTTATAAAGTGTCTAAATGACCAAAGGACAAAGTTAAAAGAATCTTTGGAAGTTGTCTGGTTCCATCTCCTTGTCCTTCTTTCCCCCCTCTGAGGAAACTCAAGTAAGAAGGAACTTGCTTATTTTTCCCTAGTACCATTAGTAGTGCATAATGGAACTGGCTGACTGATGGTTCCTAAGTGGTCCAGTAGTCATTTTCTTACGCATGCTTTTATGCTCAGGTTCAGCTTTCAGCTTGTACCTCATAATATGCCATCTGAAATTATTCAAGCATTCCAAGTATTAAAATGTCAATTCAAATTGATCATCATGTTAGTTCAAGTCATTTAACAAAGTCAATGTTGACTTAATTATCTGTATCCCATGCCTGCTCAGTATTCACAGTCCTGGATTTGATGCTTCAAATACAGAATAAAGTGTTTGTGAAACTATTAATGTTTCACAATATTGAAAAATAGAAAAAATAGAATATGAAATTAATAACTACAAAATGAGTTTGAACTGTATTAACTATTGTGTCTTAAGTGGGTACACAGTCCTAAGCAGTTTATGGAATGTTTTCCTACACCACTTCATTCAATTTTAAATATCAAGTAAGACACACTTTGCAATTTTTACACAGGGTTAACTAGGTCTGACAGAATTGAGCTGCCTCACTCAAATTTCAACAGCATATTAGTGGCAGAAGCAGTGATTTGGACTTCAAGTTGGATGTGCTTTCTGTGTAATTTGTGGCTTAGAGATTCAATGCCTTTTAACATTCTCCTTTAGCAGCCCATTCTGCATTTTTTTTTCCTGTTGAGATTTGAGTCTTAATCTGTGTTTTTGAAGACTTGGTTACATATTATAGCTTTAGGCACTCAGGCTAAACTTTGGAATGATTAGCTCATACCTGTAATCCTAGAGAAGCCAAAACAAGAAGACCACTGAGTTCAAGGCCAGTCTGTGCTGTGTAGCAAGATTTTGTTCCCAAAACACAACTACCAAATCATACAAGGAAAGTCAAAAGAAAATATAATTGAGAACCAAGACTACTAAGCTTCTCGAGTTATTATATATGCAAATAATTATATAATAAACTGCATATATTATAGATTAACCTGCTAGATAAAACATGGGAATGGATTTTTAGAAATACCGAAATCTGCCATCCAAACCTGCAAACTGAATAAATGGAATCTATTCTATTTGTAAGTTTAACTTTTGATACACACTTGGTATGAAGACTTATTTGGAGATGTAAATTGTTTTGTACTAGTTTATTTCTTTTACCATCCTTATAGGAAATAGAGAATATTTAAAAGTTGTTCCTATAGTTCAAAGACTCATGTCTATTTATTTTAATTTTACATATCGATCCCAGTTCCCTCTCCCTGTCTTCCTCCCTCTCTCCCTCCCTCTCTCTCTCCCTTCTCTTCCCCCCAACCACCCCCCCATCCCATTCCCCTCCCCACTCCACAGGGAGGGTGATGCTATATTTTCCCAGTTGGATTTTAATTCACTGTGTATTAGCTAACAAAAAGAAAAGCTCTGTGTTACATACACGATTCAAAAGCAGACCTTAAGTTATTTCTAACTTAATGACTGTCCTTAAAGGTTTCGGCTTCTTTTGATTTAGAATGGTAATATCTGTGCCTATTTAAGGAGCAACTTTGCTTTCCTGGTTTAATAGAATATTTTTTAAAAATCTTCTATTGCTCATATGACAATTACTTGTACCCTTCACCTCCCAAGTAATATGTTTGTCACTTATAAACATTTTCATATGGTTAAATAATTTTTTTTAACTTTATGTTTAGTTCAGAACAGAACAGTAGTCAAAGAAGTAGAATTCGGAATGTGCACAGTCACATGTGGTAAGTAGCACAGACCAAAGGAATAACCTGTCATTATTTCGACCTAGATCAAATGCCAACTATTGTAATCTCTGTACTACTTATACTGTTTTCATCCCTTGCTTTATATGCCTATTACTATCATTTACACACAACACTAGGTAATTGCTTTAAAAGGTATATTTTCAGGTTTGGGGTATTTTTGCATGTAAGCTATATTTACTAAACTAAAATTCTGCTTCACAGATGTTCAAAGATGAGATATCTTCAGTGCATCTAACAGATGCCTTCCCACACTACTTTCGCAAACCTGCCAAAAAAATAAGCTTATTTGCAACAGACTATTACAAATATCCCATTTCTCTAGTTGTACATTATATTTTAGAGAAAAGAGATGTTAGCTTTGCAAGATGAATAATGGTGAAAGAACATGACATTGGTCCATTCTAAGAACAGAAATTTTAAACAAAATCTCCTATGTAGAATTGGGATTCAAACAACATTTGCTATATAGACAGACCAATGTTTCTTAAACAGCTACCCTAAATATGTTAAAATTGCTGGATTAACCCAGAGATTTTTAACAACCTAGGACTATGGGTAGGCCTAAGACTTTGAAGTTCTGATTAATTCACGAGGAAGCTGATCTTGCTAGTGCTGGATGTCCCTTGATTTCTATAACCATTGCCAGGAATCATCATGATGAGAAGACAATAGATAATTAACAAATTAAATTACTTATCCTTAGTTGGAAACATGACTGTGATAATATTCTAGTCTGTACACATCTAAATCAAACTTCTTTCTAGGTTCTGTAAATGAATTGCCAAAACTGACAGTTTTTTATGTGGGTGCTAAAATATACATAACATAAAAGTCACCATTTAACCACTTTCAAGTATACAGTTCAGTGGCCCTAACACTATCCATGGAATAATTTTAGTAGCCAAACTAAAACCTCATACCCAGTAGACAGTAGTTCTTCACACACCCATCCTCCCAGTTCCTGGAAGTCACTTTTTTCTAATCAGCCTAAAATGGGGTTCTGGCCTTAGCTTTGTAGTGGCACCAAAATGACAGGAATCATGACAGCCTGAGAGTGTTTAGTTGTAATTTATCTTTTGTTGTTGCTGCTGCTTGAGAATTTCCACAGTAGACTTATTTTTATAATAACCCCAGTAATCTCCAGCCTTCCCTTCCCTGATCTTGCAGGGTCCACTTTCCTATCCCTCAAAAATGTAGTAACACCAAGGAACGTGCTAGAAATATAGGATGCAGACTTTTCCAAGGCTGGGTCAGAGTCTGCATTTTAGAAAGATCTACAATTGACTTGCATGAACTCTTAAGTATATTAGCCACCTGTCATCTTCAGCTTTTCCTTTCCTTGGATGGGCTTATGATTAATACCTTGTTAGGGGCCAAAGAGGGGACTCCATCAGGGAAGATAAAGGGAGACTCTGCTTAGCCTGTTATACATCTCATTACAGGCTATGGTTGCGAACCATTCTAGGATCAGCTAATAATGATTTGATTTCTTGCTAAAAAAAAATGTGGAGCAGATTCAGAAAGAGTATATTGCTGGAAATAGAGTTGTAGTAAATAGTTTATCCCATCTGTACTTAATAGAGATACTTTATCAATACAGATACTGAAAAGCATCTTATGGTAAAATAGGACTTTGGAATTTATTTCAGAAGCTCCAACCCCAAACCTGAAAAGTTCCATGATCAAATAAATTTGTGTAAGCCTAGGTATTGTAGCAAATCTGATTTTATATGTTATAGGAAGAATATTTTTGTACTCTCAAAGGGGAAAATTCTATCAATTTAAAACATGCACAATTATATTGAGTTCTGATTTCAAAGATATTGAAATTAAAAATTTTATATTTTAGTCAGTAAAAATGATGCATAGTAGTATATTTGTTAGCATACTAAAAATTTCAAAAAACTTCTAAAGAGATCCTTTTTGCTTTATTGTAATGTTTTAAAATGTGCAAGTGAGCATAGATTACTTTTCCTGATGGGAATAGCAATCAGTGTCTTATGAAACTTTCTTGGGGGAAATACTGTTTTAAGAAATAAATGGAGTGGGGGAGTCTACAAAAGCGCTATATGTTTTCATACTGAATTTAGAATTTTAATTTCCAAAATTAAGAGAACATTCTCAGAACTAAATTAAAGAAAATACAGACTTGAATGGGAGGAAAGACCCTTTGCAATTATTTTTATTTAAACATTTGTTAATTTCTCTGACTTAAGGTGTTGGTATCAGAGAAGTTATTCTAACCAATGGATGCCCTGGAGGAGAATCCAAGTGTATAGTTCGTGTGGAAGAATGCCGTGGACCTGTTGACTGTGGCTGTGAGTTGAATCCATATTTACAGAAAGAGCGTTAATGCTGGGGAACTATCTTTAACCTCAACCTACTACTGAGTACAAGGAGACAATCAACTGATAAAAATAAATAATGAAATAACTAAATACCCCCCTCTCTAGACTGTTAGAGCTCCAAGTAGGCTTGCTTTTGATGTACATTTCAGTGATGTGTAGAGTCTATGGTGTGGTGGCGCTTCATTGTGCCTGGGGTCTGTGTTTGAGCCGGCTCTGGAGTGAAACACTTCTGATGCTGTGGCCATGACATTTTATCTGTAGATTAGGAAACCTAAAATTTGGAACTTGGAGCTCTTTATATCAAATTATGTTTTTTTCTAATGAGGTTTCATAACCCCAAATTAGAAGCCACGGCAGATAATCAAGTTCAAAGTAATATATCACTATGTTGAATGCCTTCTCTTCTATACTTTTTCTGCATTCAGATGAAGAGCACTGGTTTCTCCTCACCTGCTTCTTTTGATGATTTCTCTATAATCAGACTCTCAATTACAAGATCCAGTGACCTCGGTATCAAATTGACTTCGGGGGGGGGGGCTTTTTACAATAGTGTGGCATATGAGAAAGTCCCCAGACAATACAAAATTTTCCTTACAGTAGTGTTATTTACCACTGTAGGGAGATAGGATTTGAGATCTGGATTCTAACCTGACCTTTTGTTATCTTCTCGGAGATCTTCAGTAGATTTCATAACTTTGGATCTGTTTTATTCAACTGGAGAAACTAGAAATTTGGCTTATCATAGATCGTCCAATCCTCATATTATGTATAATGTACATGGACGTGGATGCATGTATATAATGTATACTCTGCCATGATAGTGTTATTTCTCTTGGTTGATGGTATACTTATTAGTTGATATAATTAAAAATTGTTGATAAAAAGGAATATGGCCAGATAAAGCAATTTTTGCCCAGTGATATTTGTCTGTTTTTTCTTCTTTTTCAGGGGGAAAACCAATTTCTGAAAATCTTGAAAATGTTAGACTATCGTGTGTTCATATATCTCCTGTAAATCGTTTCAAATATATGTGGAAGCTTCTAAAGTCAGACCAAGTAAGTAATGACTGAATAATCTTGTGTTTTTGGTAGCTGATAACATTTGTATCTAGTTATAATGACTTATGAAAGCAATTTGTAAAAATGGAGTTAAAATCATATAAATTTATTATATTATTGGAATTCAATTTTGTCAGACTAAAAATACATATATCTTAGGGTCATCTATAATCACAACTTAAATTCACACATTTTATATTGTATTCTGTTTTGGAATCAAGATTCTTACTGGTTTATAAGACATGGCATGATAAATAATACTTAACATTAATTAAAGGTGTTATAAATACACCTTTGTTATAAAACAAATCTATAAACTTCTTTAAAAATAAGTAGTGGTGTCATTTTACTGATAGTAAATGAGTTATAGAAAGTGTCTTAGTTTGCTTTTCTGTCACTGTGATTAGACACTTAACAACTGAACTGGGGAGGAAATGGTTTATTGAATAGTTTATTCCACATGACAGTTCATCACTGAGGGAAACCAGCGCAGGACCTGCAGCAGAACCATACTTGCTCATCCTGCTTTCTTATACATGCCATGACTATCTCCTGCCCAGGGGTAACCTGGGGCCTCTCACATCAGTCATCAATCAAGAAAATGCCCCACAGAATAGCTGATAGGTCAGTTAGAGGTATTGTCTCAACTCAGGTTCCCTCTTGCCAGATGACCCTAACTTGTGTCATGGTGACAAAAACACACTACCACAGAAAGTACTGTCCATAGTCAACAGGGTTGTTTGATTATCTGACTAAATCATGTATGAGCAATTAGTCTCACACTAGGCTGAGTAAGCAGTTCTGCTTTTGTTAGAGGGATGCTTCCTCACTCTGTCAACCTCTTGATGTTTGCTGGTTATCCAAAGTGGCCTGTGTGTCTTTTCACTGTCTCCATTAGCAATCAGTGAACCCAGTCAAGACTATTCTTACATTTTGTTTTTGCTTGTGATTTTGTTTTTAATAGCAACCTGTGATACTTGCAAATGATTCAGCAGTCCTAGAAGTACAAAGAGAACTTCATCCCATGGCTTTCGAGTGTGACACCCTGGATAATAATGAAATAGTAGCATCTATTAGGTTCACAGTCTATACAACAACTGGTAAGTGTCCAGCAGTGTTTGGTTTGCTTGTATCTCAAACTCACTTCGAGGAAACTGCCTGATGGACTTTTTAAAATATAAATTTCTACCAGCTGTACCCGAGCTTCTGATTTAGTAGATCTGTGTGGAACTGGCACGTGAGTTATCAGATGAACTGTTCCTCTAAAACCCAGTCCTGGAGCTCGAGATGGTTCAACAGTTCAGGGCACTGGCTGCTCTTCCAGAGGTCCTGAGCACAATTCTCTGTACTCAAAGGTGGCTCATAACAGTCTTTAATGAGATGTGATGCTCTCTTCCCATGTGCAGACATAGAACTGTCTATCTCTGCTTTGGAGTGCTGGAATTAAAGTTAAGTGCTATCATGCCTGGTTTTGGATTATGTTTTTGAAGATTCGGTATTAAAGTTCGTGATCTATTCTTGAATACAACTTTATATACTAGAAATTGTCTCTCCTGAGAAATACAATATATGTCCATATTCATTCAGATTAACCTGTGTCTTCTCTATGTCCAGGTAACTATTTCCTTGGGTTTAATTGCTCTGAACCATATTTAATGTTGCTATCTTTGTTGATAGGAGTATCTGGTCACAAGTTCTTTTAAGAACTCACTTGTGTTAAGATGCTCTGAAGGAACAGAACTGATAGAATGAATATTATAGGGGCGATTTAGTAAAGTGGTTTACAGGCTATGGTTCAGGTGGCTTTCTCCCTATGGAAGACCAGTAATCCAGTAGTTGTTCAGTCCATGAGTCTGGATGCCTCACCTGATCTTCCAACTAAATTGAAGTACCATCAAAAACATGCCTCAGCAGCAGGATAGATGAACTTGCCAACAAGAGTGAGAACAAGCAGGCAAAAGCAAAAGCTTCCCTCTTCCATAGCATTTTATATTAACTGCTACTAGAAGGTGTGGCCCAGATTTAGGATGAGTCTTTCCACTCAAATGATCCAATAAAGAAAAAAATCCCTCACAGGTGTGATCACCTGCTTGAGTTTTAGTTGATTCCAGATGTAGTCCAGTTGACAGTCAAATTGGCCATTATGTCATTAAAAGATTCTAGAGCCTTTTATTCTCAGAGAATATAAGCATTATTATTATATATAAGCATTCTAAAAGTGATAGCTAACTTTAAGTGGGTCTGTGTATTTCTTGAAGCTATTTCTGAGTCTAAAAAGCTTTTGTTGCAGTCTGGTGTGCCATGCCATGCAGTGTTCTTTATTGAAATGAAAATAAGCAGCAAAGGATTTTGGAGAGGTTTGAAAAATGAATATTTACTAGTTAAACTTTCTTGGTGTGCTTTTAGATGGCAACTTACAAAACATTTTCAAGGTAGAAGCTAATAACCACTATGATGAGTCATCATAAAAAAGATAACTCCAGTAGCAACTAACTATTGAGAAAAGCACGAGAAGACTGAAGGACCATCAAACTTTATAAACATACTCAACTTACCATAGTTTATGATAATAGGTATCTGGCCATTTGTAGATTTGGTCCTCACTGCCTGGCCACTAACAGGTACCTTTCAGTAGTTAGCACTTTTCACATTTAGAAAGGAACATTTACCTGCTAATGTGTAAGCTAAAAGTTAGAGCATAGACACAAAATTCTTGCTTTGGTAGTGATAAGAAACTAATGTATATATAAGTGATCTTTATCTAAAACATTAAGTATTTATATTCAACCCATTTTTCATTAGTTTTAACTTCATTAAGTTTTTCTTAGAAAATTTTAAGAGGAAATTCAGCCTTCGTAAGAAAGTTAGATGTACAAGTAATGCAAGATTACTGTTCTCAGGAGTGGAAATCCCAATACCCTTTACTCTATCCTCTCTTGGCTGAAATTGGGTGCTAGTGAATAAAACAAACTAATTTTGCATTTATCTTCAGAACCCAGTCCTAAACATTGTCTCTCTGTTTTAAAAATACCCCACGTTCTACAAATCAAAATCACTAAAAATATTTCTTAATCTGACAATATTGAAATAAAAATATAAATGCACCTTTGCAGTTGTACTCAAGACTGTTTAAAGGGAGGATCACCAAATTGCATTTATACTATATGACTACTGAGAAAAGATGGTTATAATCCATGACATTAAGAAGATAGGAACCTATCCATGTGATTGCTATGCAGGAGATCACTTCTCACAGAGTGGTACATGTTAAGTTAAAATGTTAAAATAGTCAGATCATAGTTTATACAAATTGTTAAATCACCCTGGTCTTTGTTATACTTACCGGTATAATACAGTATTTAGTCCAGTGGCCCTTTTCTGTATGGATTTTTTGTGTGTGGGTTTAGAATGTGGGGAATAAAAGAACCATAAGAAAGCCAGCACATTCACAAAATATATAATATAGACATAAGCTGTGTCTTCACCACTTTATAGCATACTGATGCTATTACACATACTGTAGACCAGCTCTGCTTTCTTAACAGCCTTATTTTCAGAAAGGAAATGTCTGACTCAGGAGTAGTGTGTGAATATTGTATGGAGAACAATGAATGTCAAACCCAATCTTATATTTTAAAAACCAGAGCTATATCATAATCCTAAGCATAAAACTTAAGTCTGTGAAGCATTAAGGAGGAAATGGCAGAACTCATGATTCAGTAGTAGGCAAGGTTTCTTAGCCATGACTCAGAACAATAAAAAGTAACGTTGAGTAAATCACACTGTGTCAAAAGTAAAAAATTTCAGATTACCAAAATAAGTCACTTGGAAATGAATAGGTAGGCTGAAACCTGGGAGAAATCCAAGAAACATAGCCAGGATAGTCACTTTGGGAAAGTTCTCTCTCAGTTTGTTAGGATACTAGGCATACCCCTACCCTATTGAAGTTACTCTTATATTTATCTCAGAGAAAACATATCCACAAAATAATGCTTACAGGAATGATTTATTTAGATAGCCACTCCCTGCCAATTGCCAGTAGCAATCATCATATGTGTCTCTCTACTTTTAGAACTGCAGATGAGAAGAATAAGCAGACCAGACACTGATGCAGTTTTAGTTTTTGTGCTGACCATAGGAGTCATTATCTGCATATTTGTGATCTTCGTATTGATCTTCATCATCATAAATTGGTAGGTGAATGGCAGGGATTCACTGTCGTCTTTGATTGACCTTGTCCTCAATCTCCACCCATTTGCAGTGAAGCCCAGATTGCTGCCCCATGGTGTCTCCTCTATGTATCTTGATGCCATCCTCTTTCAGGCTACCCCAGGTTGTATGTGGATGCTTTTAAAACAACATCATGACTTATTTTGCAGCAGTGGGAGAGCTTTCAGATGTGTATTTTACAAGACAGTTGTTTAAAAAGAAAAACAAAAAAGAATACTTTTACCATTTAACCATAGCTCTCACTGCTTTAAAACTTTGCTATTGTAACATCCCAATTCACTTAAATGAAAAAAAGAAAAAGCCTGTATGTGTATTATACCCAGCAAATCTAAGGGTTCATCAATTACAGTGCAGATGGATTATTTCCATGTGAAGTTGAACTGTGAATAAAGGGCATGTCTATATAATCGAGATGTAAATATGAACCTTGTCTAGTTTTGTTTTTGTCTTTTTATTGTGGCCTTTGTTTTTATTTTTGCCTTTTCCACCAGGGCGGCAGTAAAATCCTTCTGGGGGGCGAAAGCCTCAACTACTGAGATGCACTCTGAGCTGAGTTCTATGAGGTACAAAGATTCAACTTCTCTTGAGCAGTCACCAGCAGATATACCTGTACATGAAGATGATGCTTTAAGCGAATGGAATGAATGATGTATGGATGACATATGAGAAACCAAAGACAATTAGAGCATATCAGATTCATTATTATAAAAATAAAATATATACTGAAATACTTCAATGATGTTGGGTTGAGTTTACCTCCATGGCTCTAATGCATGTGCGGCAGCGCTGTTGGTTCAGTCCAGCTCTCTAGAACAATTGCCTAATTCTCGTTTAAATAGTTCTTGGTATTTACTGTTTCAGATAACAGCTTGAGGTCACTTCTATAAATGTATATACAAATAATTTCTGATCACTTTGGTCACTTGTGAGATCATTTGCCTTTTCTGTCATAAATAAGAAAAATATAATGTAGAAGTTTCCTTGGAAAGTAAGCTTTCTCCAACCTGGGAGAAATAGATTGAACCACTAAAGTAAATCATACTTCATAATCTCTACAGGGCATGTGACGTACACAACATCCTTTGTAAAATATGAAGTAGTAATAACAACCAAGACTTGGAGACTACTGTGTGTTCAGCATTGCTCAAAGCAGTTCATTGGGTAATTTGATTGTGGATGTGTGGAAGAAATACATGCAAGAACTAAACAAGTGCTTGGAGGTGGCTGAGAAAATGACATGGGTTTAATAATTTGTATTTCTCCCCAGAAGCAGTGACTTAGGAACTCTAAAATAACCACTAACAAGTACCTCGTTGTGCTTAGTGTGCAGGTGATATAATAGAAAGAACACCACCATTTTGTGTTGTACTACTGTGACACAATTCAGCCTGCAAACTAGATGTTAAAGCATTAAGAATTATACTCAGTAGTCTTTTCCAGCAAGTTTTCTTAAGACTACATTTTGTTTTTCTCTGTTTAGATGACTAACTTAATTGCTTTCTTTTAGGATTTATGATATGCACTGGGCAGGAGACATTGTAAACGGGCATTTGCTCTACCTTGCTCTAACACACAGAAAAGTATACTATAAAGTTACCCTATTTATTTCTGTTACATGGCAGTTCTATCTGAAAGAAGAAAGGACCAAGTGGTTAGAAAATGATTTTCATCTGTTGTGGGAATTCCTTTGGAGATCTTAAGTGAAAAGAGATTATTTTAATATAATCTCCTAAAAGAAAATTTTACACCACCTACCTCAGACAAATGTTAAACAGCGACCAGCCTTCCAGTTCTTATTTCTGAGTATGTATGGTCTTGCACCTTTAGTAAAGAGACTAAAAATTCTTGAGTAGTAATTTTATCAGTCCTTGTTTTAAAGCCAGAATGGCAGTGAGATCCATTTATATTTCCATGGACAATAGAGTTCAGTTATTGAACAAGACTAGTTGTGCTACGTGCTGTTCTTAGGCTATTTCTGACTGCCTACCTCTGGCATGTGGTAGACAGAACTTCTTAGCTCTTTTGGTTAGCTGGGGCAGTGTGCCTACTTCCGACCAGTAAGTCATCAGCCCACATTCCAAAGTTCTGGGTCATCCTGAATCTGGAACACTGATGTGAGGAAACATTTGGAACTCTGATGGCTTGGGTTCCAGAGAGAGGACTTTGTGCCACAGAATCTTTAGTAAGCCAATCGTAGATAGCTCACTATTTTAAGCCATGAAAATTGACAGGTTATTTGATACAGTAATTAATACTGTAATTATTCTAATTGACACATCTCTTTTCTTTAAAATAAATTGAAGAACCTTCTTTACTGGGGACTTTCAAGCTTTCAGTGTGTTGCATATCCCCATGAGTCTCCAATGAGGGCATTGGTAAACTATTTCCCCAATGTATGGAATGAAGCCATGAATATATGTAAAGGGTACTGCTCACTTTCAAGCAAAACTGTCCTGAAAGATTTGCATTTGAGGAGCCATGTGTTAACTGAGTCATTAGTAATGTATCACACACAGTTTCAGACCCAGGCAACAGGATGGAAGACACAGGAGTATGAAGTAGAAAATTTAAATCTGGACTCACTCTTGGTTAAATGACTCCAAGGGGAAGTGCTTTCATTTCTTTCCACGGCAGAACATTAGTCAGACCTCGGGGAATCCTCTGGAAAAGGGGAAGAAGGATTATGGGAGCCAAACTGGCCAAGGACACCACAAGGAAACCCATAGAATCAACTAACCTGGGCTTGTAGGGACTCACAGAGACTTAACTGCCAACATGAGAGCTTGCATGGGAATGACCTAGGCCCTCTGCCCACATGTTATGGTTGTATAGTTTGATCTTCATGTGGGACTCCTAACAGTGAAAGTGGGAGCTGTCTCTGACTCTGTTACTGCTTTTGGGACCCTTTCTTCCTACTAGTTACTTAGTCCAGCCTCAATAGGAGAGGGGGTACCTAGTCTTACCAAAATTTGATATGCCATGGCTAGATAATAGACATGGGATGCCTGCCCTTTCCTGAAGAGAAAGGATGAGGAGTATGTGGGGTGGGAGAAGGGACTTGGAGGAGAGGAGGGAGAGGAAATTGATAGAGCTGGAGGAAAATAAATTAATAAGAAAGAGTATAGCTATGCACTATCTAGGGGTGTAAAAGTTAGTTTCATAGGAAATCTAAGACAAGTAAGGTTGATTTTTTTTTTCAAGTTCTTCTCTTAAAAGCAGGTTAAACAAATTTCGCACACACAGTAGGCTAGCAATTATAAGTCTTAAATGGCCTCAATGTGTATTATCAACTTCAGCTATAAAACCTGACAAAAGTTCCAGTCCCTCAGAATGCAAGAGATATTTTCAGAATATTGTTTTGTCAGGCTAAAATAATTAGCATATTTTATATGAAATCAATAATATACCAAAGAGTTCTCCCTTTTCTTTTGGCTTTTTTTCATTTACCTAAGTTCTACATATACTCCCAGTTGTAATACATTGTATTATAGACCACAATGTAGTAAACAATCTGAGGAAGCCTGAAATTTTCTGTGAAGCAATAGTAGGTAAAGACTCGTTTAAAGAAAATTCTATTGTATCAATTTTACCTTGTTTAAAAGGGAGGAGAGCCTAGGCAGAGCAAAGAGCAGGTCTGAAAAAGCAAAATGCATCTTGAAAGAAGGCTAGTGGAGCTAGAATATGAAAGGAGAACATGTTTATGGGAGATGTGGCAGAGGTAGTTGAGACCATACATGTACATGACATCATATATGCACAATGAAAACACTGTGTATACTACAAAATTATATTTTAATAGTTAGGAATGCATATCAATGATACAATCTCCAGAATATCCTGCTATACCATTATAGAGTTGGCTTAGCCTAGCTGCCTTGAGAGGCATGTATCATAGGTTTATCAGGTTAGAATCCATGGCTGCTGGGGAACAATGTACCTTCCAAGTCCTGAGAGACTAATGCACTCTCTCAGGCAGTAAAGCGTTCAGGTCACTTGGTGTTTCTCTGTATGTTCACTTAGAAGCCAAGGAAACATGGAAAGTTGACATGACAACTGATCTTAGATATTAATCTTGTGTACTCTTTGAGGCTTGCAAATGTCATAGTATCCTGGCAAATACAGCTGTGTTGATCCTGACAACTGCCATTATATTCTGTTTCTGATAAATGTAGAGAGCTGCGAAGTGCTGCGCCTTAAAGATGGTGCTGGCTTCTGCCTTCCACTGTCGTAAACAAGTCCTTATTTGGCTAAGCTTGTTCAGCTTGCTTGCTTCCCTATAAGAGCAGCCTATCTGCAGGGTTCACGTGGCTCACTGGGGTTGGTCAATGCAAGGGGATTTAAGCCTGTGTAGGCCTTTCCCCAGGGTTGCCAGAAGAATAAGCATGTTCAAGGATCCTGATTAAACTGCTAGAAGAAGATCTTCCCTGAGTCGCGTTTTTTTTCTTGCTGGTCAAGGTTGGGCGCCACAGCTGGTGGCCCATATGGGGGACCACCCAGGAAGAGTGGGACAATAAGGACCGCGGGGATAAGCAGCAATAAAGTCTCAGGCATTGAGCGAGAGGTTCTAGTGAACCGAAAGTAAAATTTTAAAATGGGGACATCTCAGTCTCATCCAATTTTTCTGGCTCTTCAGGAGCTACTTTTGTCAAAGAAACTTAAAGAAAAGCACACTGGAAAGGTTTCTGGGCAAGTGCAATGCCATTGCACCTTGGTTCGCAGTTTCCGGGGAGACATTACGTTAGCGTGCTGGGACAAGTTAGGCAGGGATTTTGACTTTGCTTGGGAACAAGGGATGCTAAAGCCCGGAGTCAGACCCTTTTGGAAGTTAGTGCTGGAAGTTAGTGCGTAGCTGCATTGAGGACCAGAAATGGTGTAGAGAGGCAGTGAAAAGGAGCAAGCTGCTACAAGAAAAAAGATCAGAGGAGGTTAAAAGCACAGGGGAGTCTGATATGGACGAAACAGACTCTGAGGAGGAATTGCAGGCCCTAGTAGAAAAGGTTCAGAAACAATCCCTTAGAAAACGGAGAAGGGAAAAAAAGGAGAAATGGCGATGTGAGGAGGAGGAGGATTCCCTCCCCCAATAAGGCCTTCAGAGGGCCTCCTTATCAGATGGAGGAAGGACGGGGCCGAGGAACAGGGCCTTCCTTTTGCCCTGACGTCTGGAGAGCAGTGCAAACTGACCTTGGTCTAGCTTTTCCAGTTTTCCAGGATGCCCAAGGCAATAGATATGAGGAGCCTTTAGACTTCAAGGTCATCAAGGCTTTGGCTGAGTCTGTGAGAACATATGGGATCCGGCTCTTGATTCTCCTAGGCAATTGATTGTTGAAGAAAGAGAAGCCTTATGTAAAGTTGAGGAAAGACTACAAAACACATTTCTATCTAGATGGAAGGAAGGTCAAGCTTTCACGTTATGCATTCTCATTACCTATAATCAGCCTACAGGGTTGTTATGGCAGGAAGGACCATTGCTTTGGATTTATTCCAAAATCTCCCCAGCGAAAGCAATAGGACATTATCCCAAGCAGTCGCTAGTTTGACTCATAGTGGAATTCAACAAAGCATTCAAATTTTGGAGTGCCCCCGGCACTACTTGTGGTGCCTTACTCCAGTCACCAGGTTAAGATCTTGTGTGGCACTATCAATAATTGGGCCATATTGCAATGTGGGTTTGATGGAATGATAGATAATCATTATCCAAAGCATCCTTTAATAACATTTTTTAAGGAACATCCTGTG